TGTTAAGCAGATGGGGGAAGTACAGGAACTATGAGTTGATGTTTCTGTATATTCTGTCACTGTTAGCTTGTCGATTTTAAAGGTATTTATTCTTTTGCATTTTTGTTTATTGGTTTGTTTTGTATTTGGGGGTTATATATCCAGCATTGTTCAGGGGCTACTCCAGGCTCAGTGCATGGGGAAAGCTCCTGGCAGGACTCAGGAGCCCAAGCCACACTGGGAACACAATCCAGGCCTTTGGGACTAGAGAGATACTAAATGGATTAAGATACTGGTTTGCATGTGGTCAGTCTGGATTCAATCCCTCACGCTGCATATAGTCTCCAAGGCTCCACCAGGAGTGAGCATAGAACCATGAGTAAGGCCTGAGCACCAGGAGTATGCTTTGAGGGTGCTTCCCAAATACCAAAGAAGAAAAACAAACAAAAAAATAACTAAGAACCAGAGACACTGGGTTACAAGGTATTGAACTGTTCATTGAGCTATTCCTCTGACCCAGTATTTATTCTTTTTGTTTGGTTGGTTTGGGGCCACATCTGCCAGTGCTCATGGCTTACTCCTGGTTCTGTGTTCATAGGTCCCTCTTGGTAGGACTGGGGGACTCTCGGGGTTCCAGGGATTGAACCCAGATTGGCCACATGCAAGGCAAGCACACTACCTGCTGTACTATTGCTCCAGCCCCAATATTGTTTCGTTCAGGGATAAATTTATAGAGTTAGATTAATTTTTAAAAGGGGGGGGCAGCAATTCAATCAGCTAATCAATGGCTGAATAAATAGCAGTACTCCTACAAAAAAAAATAAATAAAAATAAAAAAATAAAAAGGTGGGGCAGCTGGAGCGATAGCATAGTGGGTAGCGTGTTTGCCTTGCATGCGGCCAACCCGAGTTCAATTCCTCTGCCCTTCTTGGAGAGCCTGGCAAGCTACCGAGAGTATCCCGCCCACACAGCAGAGCCTGGCAAGCTCCTTGTGGTGTATCCTATATGCCAAAAACAGTAACAGCAAGTCTCACAATGGAGACGTGACTGCTGCCCGCTTGAGTAAATCAGTGAACAACAGGAGGACAGTGCTACAGTGCAGGTTAATAAAAAATTTTATTTGATGAATAAGGTGAATTGATGAATTCTTGCTCTGATGAGGATAACTAAGATTCTTGGGCAGGATAAAATATTACCTAGATCAAAATAAATAAAATGCATGGGTCAAAGCAATACTACAGTGGGTAGGGCACTTGCTTTGCACACAGACAACCCCGGCATCCCACATGGTCCTCCAAACCCTGCCAGGATTGATCCCTAGGCTCAGGGACAGAAGTAAGCCCTGAGCATTACTAGATATGGCACAATAAGTAAATATAAATAAGTAAATAAAGAATTACAAGTTCTTCCTCACACAATAAGTAATTTAAGTAACTGAAAGATGACTCCAGAGATTAATCTCAATCCAGTTTATGTGAAGTCATGAGTTCAAATCCAGTGCTGTCAGCTTACACCCACGCTTGTGATCCCCAGTGAATGGGCAGCAGATGGCTCCATGGTTTAAAACGCCTTCCCAGCTAGTTAAAGGTGGTGAGTTCCAGCAACTCCAGTCATACCACAAGCATGGAGCAATCTGATAACTCCCACAGCCTCATTCACAATGTGAAGGCAAAAAGCAAGAAATAATGTTTCTTTTGAGGAGGCCTATGAGAGAAGAGAGAATTGTATGACTGCAGCAGTTCAAAGTAATTTCAGAGTGGCAGACACCTGTGCATTGTGTCCTGAAAATGTTCCGCAGCATTGCATAAAGGGAGAGAGACTACATTTGGATCATGACTCAAGTATCCGAAGGCCCATCCAGTCACACAAAACCAGATGACAACAACAAAAACAGTGGTTGGAGCCAGAGCAATAGTAGAGAGGGTATGGTACTTGCCTTACATGTGGGTGACACAGGTTTGATCCCTGCACCCATATGATCTCCCAAGCCCCACCAGGAATGATCCCTAGGCATAAAGCCTGGAGTAAAACCTGAGCACAACCTGGTCTGACTCCAAGACAAAAACAGTGGCTTCTCAAATTCCCCATTGAGTGTGCTCATCTTTAATCTCATTATCCATGTTTTTCCCTCTTTTCAATTTCTTCCTTTCATATTCTCTTTCCTTTAAAATTCTTGAGTCAATGTAAGTTCAAACTCTGTATCTGCACACTGACATGGTCTATATCCTAGCTCTCTGGCTTCCTTAATGCCCTCCTGTAGAAAACAGAGAAAAGGATAGTTAACACAAATATATGTAATTCTGAAATTGGCAGTATGATTTTGTTTATATTTGACCCTTAATGAAATAAATTAAGGATAGAAAAGAAAATTAAGGGTGTAATTTTCCATTTCACAAAACCAGCTATGTTCTGGTCAGTCAACTTTACCACTTGTTCTACAGTTTTCAAAAGGATGCTTTGAGTGTCATATGTTTTCTTCCATGGTTGTTAACTCTTGGGAAATTTGTACATTTTTTTTCTAGCATGCAGTGTTGGTGTTATTATTCAAATATAAACTGTGGGATCTAACATAAATGACAAGGGTAATAAACTATATCCAATACTCAATTGCTAGATGAAATCATATTATAGCAACTCCACCCTCCCACCTCCCTTTACTCCAAATTTATCGCTACCATATCTTTAAGCACCTGATAATATACTAGCTTTAGTTAACTGCTATTTCACCACAGTCTTTTCTGAATATTACTCTATTCTGTTTCTGATCACCATTTAGTTTTCTACTTAGGTTCTGTCTTTATTATAGGTTTTTTTCTTTAAAAAAAAAAAGGTAGAAAAAACAGTATACAGTCAAATGCCACCTTTTTCCACTTCTTTTTAATTGACTCAACTGATTTAATTTACATTATTTTAGAATTTCAGCTTAACATCTCTCTACAATCCACCACATCTACCATGAAAAAGGACAAAATTTTTCATAATATAAAACCACCTATGTTCTCACCACCCAGAGATAACTGTGACTGATATTAAGGGATATCATTTTTATACTGATATTTATAACATGTGGTGCTGCCGATTGAACCCAGGGTTCCTGCATGCAAATCTGCTCTCCAGACCTTAGACCTCTCTCTCTGATGCTAGATAGAATCTTATTTTTATGTTTTTGAGGGGTAGCACATGATCAGATGTTTTTGGGTACTTCCTGGAGGTGCTCGAACCATGCAGTGCTGGTCATTGAACCAAGGTCTCTTCCATGTAAAATCGTACATTCCAACCTATTGGGATTTCTCCTCAGCCCTACAAAGATTTTTGTTTGCCAGATGTTTTTGTTGCCAGATCTAGCCTGGATATCCTGTAATGCAAAACCTGCATCTCAATCCATTGTACCATCTCTCCAAGCCAACATATTTTTACTCATTTTTATTGAGGCACCGGAATTTCCTGCACATATTTTCCATGCATACATCTATTCAGTACCATGTCCTTCACTAGAGTGCCCACATTCCTCCAGCAGTGTCCCAAAGACCCCTCTGAGCACCTCTCTCTCATGTAAGCTCAATTCTAAAGACAAAATTTCCAGTTCTAATGAATTAAACCATTTGTTTTTCCCTTACTGTGTTTCTTTTCCTTTGTTCTTTTTTTCAATCTCACATAGGGAGAATTAGGGAGAAAAAAATTTTTTTTCTAATTATAAAGGTGGTGACTCCAGCACACATATAGATGCATGGAGCTAAACTCCTGAAACTATAAAAAAATTGTAGATCAATAAAAATATTCTTTAAAAACTGTAGAAAAACTGTAGAGCTTTGGGGCTGAAGAGATTGTACAGAGGGTAGGGCACTTGCCTTTCACACAGCAGACCCGGGTTCAATCTCCAGCATTTCATACTGTATCCTGAGCACTGCCAGAAGTAATTTTTGACTGCAGAGCTAGGAGAAACCCTGAACATTCACAGGTGTGTCCCCAAAACAAAACTAACAACAACCAAAATATAAATAAATAAACCACTGTGTAGAATTCTCTTTTTACGGGTACATAAATTTAGAAAAATAATATGATTAAGTCTGTGCTAATACACTTTAAAATTTACCTGTGATAAATCCATCCTATAAATGTAAAATTTAAAGTAAGGATAATTAGAAAACTTAAAGGAAAAAATCTGAATGGGCCTAGAAGAGTAAAAAAGTTTCATCCTAAGAGAGGGAATACTATGCAGATATTTGTAATGAAAAATATAACTGAACATACTGTATTGTTCTTTGCTTTTTCAGTTAATTCTATTGAAATTTTGGACCTGTGTTATCTTTCTTCAATTTTCATTTTTAATCACTGCATAAAATATTTTAAAGAATGGATGTACAATAGTATGTATAGTCAATTCTTGATGATTTACATAATTTTTTAAAAATTTTTGACTTTTTGAGTCACACCCAGCGATGCACAGGGGTTACTCCTGGCTCTGCACTCAGGAATTATGCCTGGCAGTACTCAGGGAACCATATGGGATGCTGGGAATTGAACCTGGGTTTCCCGTGTGTAAGGCAAACGCCCTATCTGCTGTGCTATCGCTCCAGCCCCATAATTTAAATTTTTATCTGACTTTTATCTGTACTGTACTTTTTATCTGAACTGTAAAAAAAAGTACATCTGGAGGTTTTTAATTTAAAAATTGGTACAAAAGGACCAAATATGTGGTTCAAGTGGCAGAGCACATGCCTAGTTTTATTCTTGGCACTGCAAGTTCTGCCCCTGGCACTCTACACGCTTCTGGATTCAGCCCTGCTGGACCTCAGCATTGCCCGGAGTTATGCCAGGCCCACTAGCCCCACCACCATGTACGTGGACCCTCCTCACAAATTACAAAGAACTCATTAACATATGGAATTATTATGTGCCTTTCTACTTAAGGAAATGTTTTCTTACTTAGGGAGACAATTATAATTGAATATTTGGGTGGTAACTGTCTCAAGCAAATTTTGTAATAATTTCTGAAATATTATGTCTGGAATTCAATTTAGGAGAACATAAGCTTCATTTTATCCCTGCCCTGATTGGCCCCTTCCTGGAAGTGACTTTGATACCCCAACCAGATCTTCGCAATGTCATGATTCCAATATTTCATGATATGATGGACTGGGAGCAGAGGCGAAGTGGCAACTTTAAACAGGTAGGCACATGTGTTCCTTTGAGCATTTGATTTTCATTTCTCTCACTGAATTGCCAGATTGACCTCTGCATTGGGAAATGAGCATGGAACCAGTTATCAAAGGACCCAGCTTCCAGCTTGACTTGCCCAGTTGTAAAACCAAGTGCCTTTGGACACCCCTCTGATCCTGTGTTCTCCTGAGCCGCTAAGGAAATCCTGAAAAGACATTTCATTCCCTCTTAGCTAAAAAAATTCTGTAATTTTCCAGGTCTTTGTTTAAGAACTGGCCGACTTTCTTTTCTCCCAGTTGGATCCAACACCGAGGAAGCTAAGGCTAATGATTCTTAAAATCATTGAACTCTCAGTGGTCTGCATATTGTATTTGGAGAATGGTTTCATTTTGAGCATTTGATTTTCAATGTGTTTTATTGCTTCTTGCTTGAAGCATTGAGAATTAATTTAAAGGGGAAAGCAGTGGAAATACTTGCAAAGGAAATTCTGAGAAGATGAGCCTATCATTTCTTGCTGACATCTGTTCTAATAGCTCTGCTCCAGTTTTGGAAAGACAGATGTTCTTATTATAAAACCAGCTCTTATAAGAAGTCAGCTGCTTTTACCATGCTATGTCTAACTCAAGTTGGCAATAGTAAACCCTACTGTCAGTTCAGAGTCACTGCGGTAACCTGTGGGAAGGATTTGTCCTTTCTCGAACCTTAGACTAGGATGTCAACTGCACAAGCAAACTGAGTGCATACATTGAGCTTTCCTGTTACCAAAAGGTTAAAGGAAAGAATTTTTTAGTTGTATTGATCTTTATTCCAATATTTAAATTTGATTCAAAGGAATAACAAGGCTTAGCCTTTTGACAGTGTCCAGTATCCCTCCCAACCCCTATTTAAAAGAAAAAAGTTAGAGTTTATGTCACATATTCGGGCTGGAGCAATAGCACAGCGGGTAAGGCATTTGCCTTGCACACAGCCAACGTGGCTGACCCAAGTTCGATTCCTCTGCCCCTCTCGGAGAGCCCGGCAAGCTACCGAGAATATCTCGCCCACATGGCAAAGCCTGGCAAGCTACCCGTGATGATATGCCAAATACAGTAACAACAAAGTCTCACAATGGAGATGTTACTGGACCTGCTCAAAAAAATCGATGAACAACGAAGGACAGTGACAGTGACAGTCACATATTTGCTGTACTAATAACTTTTATGGTTTTGATGTACACCGATTTTTCACCTTGCCACCACCAAAGTACCTAAGATTCTACAGCACAGTCCCCCTGATATTTTCAGTTTGTTTCATTATTCCCCACTTTACCCACTCCCCCACCTTAGATGGCATCTCAGTTTTGTAATCCAGGATCAAGGGTCTGTTATTATGTGATACTGTCTGTTCCTTGTGTTTCTCTCTATACCACAGGTGCGTGAAATCATTCAATATTTGTCCTTCTCCTTCTTGTTTATTTCATTTAGCATGTTGCCCTCCCATTCAGTTTACATTGCAGCACACTGCACAATTTCATGTTTTCTTCTTGCCACATAGTATTCTAGTGTGTATATTTACCACAGCTTCCATACCATTCATCTGTTGCTGGACATTTGGGTTGTTTCCATGACCTCACTATGATCTGCATGAACGTAGGTTAATATATTTTTTCACATTAATGTTTTTGTGTCCAAGGAGTAGATGCTCAGTCATATGGAAGCACCAATCTTTTGAGAAGTTTCCATTCTGTTTTCCTCAGAGACTGAACCTGGTGATATTCCCACCTACAGTGGATGGGGGTTCATTTATCACTATCAACTCTGTTAATCCCTGCTTGTTTAGCTACCGTTTTGTTTTCTCTCACTTTTGCAGCTTCATATACATGAAGGGGTATTTCTGCCTTTCTGATCCTCAGGATTTATATTCTTGAAAATATAAATGTTTTGATTACAGTTTTTCGGAAATGTGTCCTCTCTCATGCTGCTTTTTGCTGACTTAGAATATTTCTGTGGATCTGCCATCTGTACATGGAGAGGAAAAGTTCTCAACTTCAGCAAAGATTTAGAGGAACTTCAAATTGCTTTGAAAATTAAAATAGGCTTAAAACATTTAAATGATTTAAATGTATTTGTAGATGTTAGTTTGCTGATGTTTATAGTGAGTTTTTTTAAACAAGAGTTTCTAGTTTTATGGCTCCTAAAAAAAAAATTCAAACATTTAAGATGGGCTGCAAGTATTTGTGTTTAAATCAGCAAATAGATGTCTTTGGCAGCAGCAAATGTTACCCTGGCATGAGTTTGAAGTCCCATTGCTCTTTAAATTAGCTTTCTAGGATTCCAAGAGGGGTTCCCGTCTACTATTAACCAAAGCAGATAATATCAACTGTCGCAAAATTTACAGTTTTTTTATTATTAAAAAAAACTTTGAAGATATATTGCAGTTTGCCTAGAAATCCTTCTTTGAAAGGAGAGAAAACAGTAATTTTGGGATATGTTTCAGGTGGAGGCCAAGCTAATTGACAAATTGGATAGCTTGATGTCAGAAGGCAAAGGTGATGAAACATATCGTGAACTCTTCAACAGTATGTGAGTAATATGTTATCTCAAGACAATTCTATTCAGGAGATTGGGGTCAGTACAGCAGCTGAAAGCTATAAAGACAGCTTGGGTCTCACAGGAGTTCTTTGTGGAGTGTGCCTTTGTGGAGTGTGAAATAAGGGATAATTGCCCATCTCTGGCCAATGGGTCTTCTTATGTTGATCATTAGACATGTCTCCTTGTTTTAGTCTCTGATTAGGACAAGTCACACGGACATGACAATTCTCACTCTTTTTCTGTCTAATAAATTCAAAACCTAATCTACAAGATAATGATTGTAAGTAGGGTAAGAGAGAGAGAGGGAAAAGTTGGTGTGATTTTTGTGTTTTGTGTTTCCCAAAGTAGGATAGGATAACTTTGGCTGATTTGCTCTTGGGAAAATTAACCCAGTTTGCATCCCTTTTTCAACACTTGATTTAATTTATTGATTCTGATTGCTCATTCATCATTATTAATTGCTTCCTAAATGTTTCTTATTAGAATATCACAGAAACAAATCATTTCTAGGAAAAGTTGTAATTAGGATTATATGGAGGATTGAGAAATAATAGAGTACTGTAAAGAGACTTTAAAGTCATTCCTACAAGTAGAATTGATCATAATTACTGGATTAATTGCTTGTACCCAGAATTCATCGATTGTGTGAAATGTCTAAAGAGAACATGTAAGAATGTTCTAGTGTTTTAGAATTTTGGTTCCAACATTTTTTTCTTTATGAGTTCCTGTGGAGCTTAGTCATTCTCAACTGTATTGTAGAGATTTTTTAAATTGTTTCTTCTTCCCTTCCTTTATTTATTCTTTTTAATGGAGGTGGCTCGCAGGAAGAACCAAGCGACCCAAAGACCACTCCCAGCAATGCTAGGTCAAGTCAACTTGCCTTTGAGCAGCCTGTTATGCTGCTCAGGCCCTGTGGTGATGGGGGCCTTCTGGCTAACCCAACAGTGCTCAGTGGCCTCTGGGGCTGTACCTGACAATGCTCACGAGAAGAGATGGTGCTAGTGATGGAATCCAGTTCAAGCTTGACATAACCCCCATAGAATTTCCACAACCCTAGATATCTCGTTCTGAAAGAAAAACCAGCTTGATATGCTTAAAAAGTGTTTTTACATGATTCTGAAGATTTGGAGCCAGAGAGATAGTTCAGGGGTCAAGGTACTGGTCTTGCACAGATACAACCCCAGTTCAACTCTTAGCATTGCATATAGTCCCCTGAGCAGTGCCAGGAGTGATTGCTGAGCATTGAATCAGAAGGAAGCCCTGAGCATCACTGAGTATGTCACCAAAGGACCTCCCCAGAAAACTTTTAGGAGTATAAACACAATTCAGTTATATAGGGGCCGGAGCGATAGCACAGCGGGTAGGGCATTTGCCTTGCACGCGGCCGACCCAGGTTCCATCCCCGGCATCCCATATGGTCCCCTGAGCACTGCCAGGAGTAATTCCTGAGAGCAAAGCCAGGAGTAACCCCTGAGCATTGCTGGGTGTGACCCAAAAAGGAAAAAAAAAGAACACAATTCAATCATATAATCTTTATTGTATAAAGAATTTTTAATTATTTACAAAGAGTATATATAATATATATTTAACATGCTTTATGCCAAAATATCTAGTAAATATCCTAAAAGAAAATATTATAAAACTCTAGTACTGATAGCAGATGAAAAATTCTATAATTCATTTTATGATTACTAATTTAAAGTAAATATATTAACATTAGGTTTGAAAAGTATTAAAAGTGATGGATAGATTTCAACTTGCCTGATTCAAAATCATTCTTGAAGCTTTTAAGAAAATTAGATTGAATGGAATGCTGAGAAAGGTTATACAGATGCATTGTGGTGATAGTGGGTGATAAAATAAGTCCTTTGTACTAAATCCTGAACACTATTTTTCCTGATACTGTAATTAAACTGGAACTTTTAATAATCATTCACCAAGCCTTCATTCATTTTAATGTATTTAATGTACAAAGCATCTGTATTTCACAGCAGCTGGAGTTTATTTAGCAAGAATTTTGATTAAAATCTCATTCAATATAATAAATTGCTTTTGAAAACTCTCATTTGGTTACTAGAATTTGGTTTGAACAAAGAACTAACATGAGAAGGCACTCAGTAAGATGAATCTCTTGAAATTTTTGATTAATTATTTATAATAATTCAAAAGGTTAATAAATGCATAATCCTATAGTGCCTCTTATCTATTATAATATAAACTTAGTAACATACAGTTTGGATTGCTTGTGTATAAATATGGCTTTGAAATAGCAGAAGTACCTTGACATCTGACTCAAACCAATAATTAAAGCATAATACCTCAATAGTTAGGACTATTGGAAGGTGCATGATTGATTCAATGGAGATTTTTACTTTTTGTAGATTTTTAACGCATTACTACAAGTATTAGTATGACTATTTTTCTTCAATGCTTTTATGGTAATATCAAGAATAAATCAAATATAAAGTGATAATTAAATATCATTACTACCTGAGCTCAGAAAGGAAAGTGAAAGTGTATTTCAGGAAGCTATAAAATGCTTTTTTGGCACTAGAAATTCACAATAAATTAGTATAACTACAATGAGTCACTGCACACATTATGAATTAGGAACGCGTGCCATCATGGTACAGAATCTCATTTGTTCTCTGTAATTCATGTCTAAAACTCCTTAAAAAATTTTGTTCAGAAGCTGAAATTAGCTCACTGCTCCCTGATAATGTAGTTCTCAACAAACAGCCTCCTTAGAATGAGACTTGGAATTTGTATAGTTTTTGACCATGCAAAAAAACCTTTTTTGACAGTATTTTTTAATACATTAAAAAATTAAAAAAACAATTCTTGGGGGTGGGGTGGGTCATAGCTGGCTGTGCTCAGAGCTTGCTTATTCCTGGCTCTGTCTGCACAAGGCACTCCGAGCAAGATTCTTGTGCTGGGGATGGAACCTGGGTCAAACATGTGTAAAGCAAGTGAACTTAACTCCTGTATTCCAATCCAAAAACCAACATTAACTTTTATCCTGCCTTTCTTCCTTAGAACTTAACTTTCCAGGGCTGAAGCAGTAGCACAGCAGTAAAGCATTTGCCTTGCATGTAGCTGACCCGGGTTCAATTCCCCACATCCCATATTCCCCGCATCCCTGAGCACCACCAGGAGTAATTCCTGAGTGCAGAGCCAGGAGTAAACCCAATATATCTCTGGGTATGAACTCCCCCCCAAAAAAAAGTTCCTTTATACTTGTATATTACCTTCATTTACCCATACTGTATATCTTTTTAATTAAGTAGGAGTCAGGACTTACTACTTTTGTTACTGTTGAATTTGTGCACCATAGATTCTAATGTGATCTACCCACAATAAAGTATGTGAACTAAATTCTGCTTCTCCACTGGCTCCACTTGATCCAATCATTGGCCTTTATTTTTTGGAATGGCAGCTCCCTGGACTAAGCACTCTTCTAGAGATGTCGATGTAGCTGTTACTCTGCTCTTGGAGCAAACACTCAAGATGCGTACAGCTGGTGGGGAGGGGAGCATTTCCCAAAGAGGTTGCATCCATCTCAGTGATTTCCCTAATCCTTGACTCTCTTTTTTTTCTTATCTGTTGTTCTAAATAACTCAGTAAGAATCCAAATCATTTCAAAGATCTTTATTTAGCACTCACACATCTTATTCTAGTTAAAGATAGAGGATTAGCTATATAAGACATAGTTGCGGTTGCTAACTCTGGTTTGAGGATATGTGTGCACAGGTGTTTTATATAAGAGTTGGCCTCAACACAACCCTGTTATATATCGAGGTAGACTGGATGTCAGATCCCCTCACCACCCCCATTGAGCCTGCAGAGCAATAGATCATCCTGCAGATGATCTGTTTTTTATCCCTCTTGCCTATGTTATGGAAGCCCCTTGCCTCTAATATAGCCAAAGAAGTCAGTTTCCACCATTCTTTGGTCAGTTCCTTGTGGACTCCCCATGGGCACATGGGCATGTTTATAAATTAAATTAAAACACATGGTTGTCATTCAAGTTATCAAGAAAGACTCTGTACTTGCTAATAAGTTTCCCTTCTCCAGTTATATCAGGCAAGCTAAAAGGGCAAGCCTTCTTTTTTTTTAATTTTTTTTATTTTATTGAATCACCATGAGAAAGTTACAAGCTTTCATGTTTGGGTTACAATCACACAATGATCAAACACCCATCCCTCCACCAGTGCACGTTCCTTGCCACCAATCTCCCCTACCCCACCCTCCCCCTGCCTCCATGGCAGACAATATTCACCATACTCTCTTTCTGCTCTTGGGCATTATGGTTTGCAATACAGACACTGAGAGGTCATTCATGTTTGGTCATTATCTACTTTAGGGCAAGCTTTCTTACTGAAAGACCATGCCTTCCTGAGGAAGCAGCGCTGCTGTGCTATCAGCTTTATTCCTCACACTGGGTCTTAAGATAATCAAGGCAGCATGCACTGCAGAATTTTGCCTATTACAAGAGGAATTCGTAGCTCCAGTTTCTTACTGCATGAGGAGGCTGTGCAAATTAACGAAACTCATGCTCATAAAAGAAGCCTCCACATATTTTTAGAATTATTATTTAACTTGGGTTCTTTGTTTTTTTAGCCTCTAAAGTATATGAGGTGTGGGCTGTCACTTGGGGAAATTTCTACATCATCCTGGATTGCTTTGGCAGGCAGATTTTCATTTGAGTCCTTGGTTCAATACCAATTTGGCATTTAAGTTGGAAACAGGTGCCGTTCAGAGGTTTTTAAAAGAAAACACATTTTAAACCAACTAGTGAACTTTTCCCTGTGGTATTGGTCAGGGCATGATCCATCTCTTCATATGCTGCTGTTCTGTCCTTTAATTTAGGAAACACTTTAGAATAAGCCAGAAATAAAATGATCAGGCATACATGGGCAACAGATGAGAACATAAGACAGAGGTCTGGACTCTGGAATGTCAGTAACAAAAGAGGCCTGGGAAGAAGAAATAGAGAGAATGTTGGGGTGTAGGACTGGAAGAGAAGATAGCCAAAGAAACCCCCCCCCAAAAAATACAAATCTGTGACAAATTAAACTCTTTCCTTAATGTTTGTTTTTCTACCAAGCATCATATCATTTAGGCTTCAATTATACTTGTAAGAAATTTTTTCACCTTGCATTATGTCTAAATCAAAGATAATAATGAAACAAGCATTTAGACAGATTACAGTTATAAAATTTGCAGCAATAGAGAAATATTCTTACGTTCTTTCATCTTTGAAGGAAAGTTTAATTACCAGGGCTTTGCCAATTTGGTTAACTTGCCTTAACACAGGGGTGAAAGTGAAGTAGAGCCTAATTATTATGGTTGTTGTTATTTTGTGTTTACATAGTGCTTCTGCTCCAAGGTGCTTCAGATTAGGGGAAGTATAGAAGGAAAGCTGTGATTTAGCATTTGTCATCGATATGGTGTAACAGCCACCTAGACAATCCTCTGTGATTAATGACAGAATGAATGAAACTGTTGAGTGAGTGCACAGATAGTACAATATGTATTGAGTGGGCAAATGTTAAGTGAAAGGAAAAAAACGCAAAACGTCATACCGTCTGTACCAGGATTTTCCTGTAGCAGTTGCATTGCAGTAAAATTGCTTGGAAGAAGATGCATTCCACTGAGAGGTAGGAAAACATTTTTATGTGAATAAAGCAAGATCTTACTTTAAAGTAAACTTATAGGTACTTCCGTTTTCACTTTCGCAGCCTTATTTGATGCATAAAGTACAAGCCTCTTAGCGTCAGAGAGAAACTAGGGGGGAAAATGTCTTTAAGCTCTGAGGCGCTTGTGTATTTTGAAAATATGATGATATGTATGTGTTCACATTTTATGACTTGGATAATCTGAAAATCAATTTGCTTTGTCAATGCTTCCTGGATTAGAATCCCACTATTTGGTCCCTATCCTAGGTAAGATGTTGTTTGCAAATTATGCTACTTGTAAGATGTTACAGTTGTTGCTAAGGCACTTAAGGTACTGATGAAAGTAAAATGGTTGTCATAGTGACTGATAAAAATAAATGTTGAAAATGCCCTGGGTTCTTTCTTTTCCAGTCTATTAAAGAAAATTGAGCGGGAAACATGGAGGGAGAGTGGCGTTTCGTTAATTGCCACAGTCACTCGTCTCATGGAGAGGTTGTTAGATTACAGGTAAGGCAAGTACCGTGTTTTCCAGAAAGGCTATGTCCCGTGCCCCAGTAAGAAAAACAGAGAGAAAGAATGTGATCAGCATCCCCCTTAAGTTGATTCCTCAAAGAATTAATATTCAGACCATAGACTAATTCACTTCTGCAGTGAAGTAATGTATTTTTTAACTAGTTTTACTTGTGGGGTTCTTTGATGTTGTGTTCTTTTTCTAAATGTTCTTTGGGAATTGAGGTGGTCCTTAGAGCCTATTGTGAATTAATTTTTTTTTTTGGTGGTGGTGGTGCTTACATGCCCATTAGAAGCATCCTTTTTAAGGTGAATAAAGCGTAATGAAGAGAACAGAATTGTTTAACCATGCTGCTTTCTTTTAAAGGGGACAAGAGAACGAAACACATAGCTTTCAGAGGTGTCATTTATTTTATCTTAGTATTATTTGAATTACTAAAACGTCTGTCCTACTTAGAAGCCATGGTGTTTTGATTTTAAGAATGAAACCCTCGATCTTATTGTTGGCAGCCCAATTTACCGCTACTTTCCCACTGTAGTGTAGGAGGTGTAGAATAACAGCATCTTTACTCATCCCCTGCCACCCTGAGCCCTGAGCCCTCCCCACCACCCACCCCCATCTATCTAGAGGAGTCTGATCCCCAGCCTCAACTAAGATCACCTAGCAAGGGGTTAGTTTCTCTCTTGGACCGAGTCTTTATCTGAATCGAAACTGGCCAATTGCCTCTGCACTCTGACTGTATTCTTACCTGCTCCCCAAACAAGTGATGTGCCTTGAGGAGGGAATTCTGAATTCTGACTCTTGTTTTTTGTTTTTAACAGAGACTGCATGAAAATGGGAGAGGTAGATGGCAAAAAGATTGGCTGCACAGTTAGCCTTCTGGTTAGTAAACGATTTCCCTTTGCCTTCTAAAATGCTGTTTTTCACAGAAGTGCTGTCTTTTGTTTTTAACCCATAATGTGTTTTTGATTGCATGTTCTTTAAATAGTTTAGAAAGGTTTCTTTTAAAAGTCATAGAAAATGTCCAGGTTGAACTAAATCCCAGGAAATTCTCCTGTCTGAACCCTGAAGAATGTCCCACACCAGCAGCTTCAGAGGATTCTGTCTGTGATACTCTTGGTTCTCTTGTTACATTCTTTCCCCATCCCTAAGTCTTCTTGTTCTCAGGGGGAGACATGAGACGTTATACAGAGCGGTTTGTTTTTCTGCTACATACAGTTCTTTCTGCCCTTCATTCGATAGTCTATATCGAATGGGTTTTTGTTTGGCTTGGTTTTTGGTTTTTGGTTTTTGGTGTGGGGTCACACCCAGTGATGCTCAGGGCTCACTCCTGGCTCTGCACTCACAAAATACTCCTGGGAGTCCTCAGGGGATCATGTGGGATGTGGGGAAATAAAGCAGGTTGGCTTCGTGCAAGACAGGATCCGTGCCCGGTGTACTGTCTCTCATGTTCCTAATTGTGCATTTTAATAAATATTAGATCTCCTGTTTTGTGTTCAGATAAGTTTTCTATTTAACATACAAGTTTTCACTTGACTTGCAAATTAAATGTAATGTTTAACAACCATAAATGTTAGTTAAGTTTTGTATTTTGACCATCTATTTTATCACTCCAAACATTTCTCAGAGTAAAACGTAGCCAGCTAAACAGCACTGTCCTGGTCAAACAACTTTATATTAAAATATAACATATCTAACCTTTGATTAAAGTGGTATTCCCATCATAAAAGAATCACCATACCTTTATAATGTCCTTTGCATATTTTAACTTTGGGTAAACTGATACTTAGGTTAACTTTCTTTAATCATATTTGAAATATACTAATATATAACCACTCCTAGCTCTAAATTGTAAATGCCACAGCCTCTTTTTCTTATTTTGCAAAATAGAGGAAACCTTGCTACCTATTCTAAGTACTCATACAAGTACTCTTATTCTTCCTCTAATCACTTTAACATTCTCGTGTGCCTTTTATTCTCTATTTGCTTGAACCTTGAAACTTTGTTTTGCCTCTACTCAGATTATGTCTTAGCACATTGATTTCAGTCTGTCTTGTTTTACTTATTCCCCTTTTAAAGTCGTCTTCAAGTGTTCGCTTCAGCAGCACACATACTAAAGTCGTCTTCAGAATCAAGACTTTTGCTTTCTTTCTGGCATTTTGTTTCCCTGCTGCACTGTTCTCCGAGTATATGCTATATTCTCTACCACACCCACCACATCCTCCTCGTTTTGAATTTAATTGCTACATCTTTTAAATTTGGTTTTTGTGCAGGGGATCAAAGATGGGCCTATACACCGAAATCTCTCTACCACTACGCTCCATCTCTTGCATTTGTCATTCCAAACACTTGGAAATCTCCTTTATCTCCTTTCTGTGTTCCTCCCTGTTTAAGTTTTGCCAGTGATCATCAACCTGAGCTGCTCCTATATCCGTACTTATATGATCACTGATTTCTAGGTTGTGTTGAGAGGTGCAGGGTTGGGGGGAAAGGAATTAAATACTCTATAAGCTTTAGATGCTCTCAGTTCTATACCCCAAATTCAGGCACAGAGTCTCACAGATAATATAAAAGAAAAGCTTTTGCCTTTTCCCAAAGTTATCTTCTTTCATTATATACACTGTCTTTTCCCAGTGCCTTCTATTTGGACATAAATAAATGTAGATCCTAGGTTCATTTCCTCAATTTATATAACAGGAGAGAGATCATTTCCTTGGATGAGGGGTTAATACTCTTCCCTAAGTATGTTTACTCAGCTTCTCATTGGGAATCAACCTGTTATATAATAAAATCAATTGGCCTATCAGAATTTGCTTGCGACCATAAATTTATCTTGCTGTCTTTGCTATGACCAAGAATAATCCTTAAAGAAAATGTTAGTATTTGGAAACTGTTCTAGTTTCAAATCAGCACAAGAATACTATTAAAGGAACAAATACATAACTTTAAAGCTAATCTTTTTTGTTTCTAATTCCTAGCCTCAGTATGGTTCTCTTCAACAACTTCCTCTTAGAGATTTTTCTTAGCTCTTTGAAAGATCCATTTTAGATCCCCTCCAGGAGAACTCTGACTTGCTTCACAAAATCAGAGTCAAAATGCTATATTTAGTTAGCAAAAATGCATAATCTTTGACATGACTTATACTAGGAAATGTAATTATTGTTATGTTTTTTGTGTCATGAGTTTTGCCAGACATATGAAAAAAATCACATCTACTTGCTGGAGAGATTTTTTTTTCCTTTTGAGGAGAACTGTTCATTTAAAGAGTGATTGCTTATTTTGTTTTCTAAGAAAGCTGTTTTTACCAGAAAACTATTAGAGCAAATCATCCCTTAATAATATAAAAACCTGCTGTGGGGTTGTTAGACTTGTGTTTATGGTACAACAACTCTTGCTAATTAAAATGATTTTGGTTATAATAAGAGAGGAGTGAATGCATTATTTACTGAGGTTTTTTTAGAATGTCAAGATCTTCAAGAGACAAGAGAAAACAGGAGGGAGGGAAATGATAGAAATTGGAAAAAAAATATTTTGTCTCATATGTTCAACTAAGTGTCAGTGTTACAGGCTAGAAGAGTTCTTTATTGAAGATTGTACACCTGTTAGTAGATGGAAAGTATATTTGACAAGGAAGATCTTAGGATTCAAGCTCAAGTACAAATTTAAATTAGCATTGGCTAGTTTGGTCCATTCCACTGTTCTCTCTGGCTAATCAGCTTGAGAAGTTTTTAGAATGTATGGCTTTTTCCCTTTAAGATAAATGTCCCTCTTTAGGTAAGGAAGTGTCTCTCCTTCAAGCTAATCTCTCCCCCATAACTACTCATCTCCTTCCACATACTATGTATTATCAGTCCAAGCTACAAAACATATTGGTTCAAATGTGAATGGACTATGCATTAAACTAGGGCACCGTGCCCCCCCCCAGAAGGGAAAGGGTGTCTGTCTCTTCCACCTCCCCCCCCCCCCCCCCGTCACTGCAGCACAGTGGCTGCCACCTCAGAGATTATTGGACAGCCAGGTATGAGCCTGCGATGACAGGGCAACTGCAGCCTCATGGGATGGGGAAGCAAAACCAGCACGTCCTTCCTGCCCTGCCAAGATCATGAGTTGCCCCCCATGAGCAGCTCTCCAGCATGGCCAGGGCCCCAGAGGCACACACGCCAATCTCGTAATTATCGGGCCTTTAGCAGAAATCCCTCCAGACTTAATTAGTAAAATATCAGAAATCCAAGACATCATATGGTCTTCATAACCAGGCATAGAAAACAAATTTTTTCACAATGCCGTTTCAGCAGTTCTGATTGTTGGGAAGAAATTCCAAATAATAATTTGGAATTATTATTGGTACATCTTTTTTAGAAATAATGAATGTAATCAAAGTAGAGAGAGAGTTAAGTAGAAATCATCTGTCTCACAGGCATGGAGCGGGGTGGGTATATTGAGGTTCTTGGTGGTGAAAAGTATGAAGTGGTTAAGGAATTGGTGTTTGACCATTGTATGACCAAGACTTAAACCTGAAAGCTTTGTAACTTTTCTCACGGTAATTCAATACATAAATAAAAAATATATATTGGTTCAGATGGCTTAAGTGCTTATATTATGTTGCACAATGATCACTCACTGAGAGTGCTTCCTTTAGAGTCTCACAGCATCATGCTTTCACCGGAATCCAACTTCTTATACGTTCACTCTCCTCTGTTTACTAAGTTCAGTTATGACTAATGTATTCTAACATGATGAAAGAGTAGATGTGGATGCTTGCAAGCATACTTTAAAAATGCCAACAGAATGTGTCCAGAACATGTGTAAAATATTTTAAAGAAGTTTTGTAAAATCCAGGTACATTGTTTTAAATAAAAAAAAATGTTCTCAGAGAATATGCTCTTAAAACAATAATTTGAAGCAAACCCTCTATATTTTTTTTAATTTGGGGGACAAATGGGAAACTTCAGTATAAGAGACTCAGGATAGTAATTTCAGAATTAAAACTCAGTCATGACTTTTCTCTCATGCGTTTTCAGGAGGAAGTTGCTTTTACACTATTTTTTACTCATCATTGCCTGTAAATCACAGAAACTTTTTATTCCCTTTAGAACAGACCTTAAAAATTCCCACTTGCAACCCCTTTTTTGCCCAAGAAAATTTAACATGACCTCAGGTTTATAAAATAAGTAACCAAGCATTTACTGAGACCCAATCATTATTTTATTTTAAAGCTAATTCTTCATGACCCTCACATACATTTTAAGAAACTAGGCTTTAGGGAAAATTTTGCTTGAAATGTGACATTAGAGGTCAGAGCAATAGCACAGTGAGGAGGGCTTTGCCTTGCATGCAGTGGTCCCGGGTTCAATCTCCAGCATCCCATATGGTCCCCTGAGCACCACCAGGAGAAATTCCTGAGTGCAGAGCCAGGAGTAACCCTTAGCATCACCGAGTATGACCCCAAAAAACAAACCAAAAAACTACAAAGAAAAATATGGCATTCATTAATCATCAATGATCAGATTTAATAAGTATATTACATATTTTAAATATTTCTTATTGAGTCAACTGTTCACTGACAGTAACACTAGCATAAAGTAATCATTATGAAAGAACTGTGAATCAGTGTTAAAAACATCCCCCAAGAGTAGCCAATCTATCCAGTAATCATTGAGTAATGTTTAACACAATGTTGAATTAAAAATGTCAGTGCCACTGTACCCTGATGTAGTCTGTGTTCATGGCCAGTTTTAATGAGGTTTGTATAATAAAGAATGTTTAAGCATTCATCTTTTAAAAATATATCACTTTTTTTTAAAATGCTCACTGTATCTTTTAATTTTTAAGGTGTTACTTATAAAAAATTCATAACTTGAGGATAAATTTCATATGGAAAAAGTTCAGTTTTCTGGATTCAGTGCATAAAACTTCAGCAGAGAGAGATATTGAAAGTCTGATGTTGAGGAACTTACCATACTTGTACTCTTTTTTTTAACAGAATTTCTATAAGACTGAACTCAACAAGGAAGAGATGTATATACGCTACATCCACAAACTCTATGATTTACATCTCAAAGCACAAAATTTTACAGGTATTTGTATATTTCAGTCTGAACACTGGTATATTAGATATATTAAACACTGTTATATTAAACTTCTCTGTTTTTATAATTAAAGCTGAGCACCACGCATTTCTATTTTAAAATTGAGAATGTACTTTTAATTGAATTAGTAAGTACTCCATTTTGATTTATATATTTAACTATATACTACACTATCTGTACTTTCCTATCTGCTCATTTTTCATAATTTTTAGAAGTTACTTTTGCAGACCATACCTAACTTTGCAGTATACTTATTGTTAATGACTTTACTACTTCCAGCTAAATATACAAACTCTACATTGTAATTGTGGTATGTATCACTGTATCACTGTCATCCCATTGATCATCGAATTACTCAAGCCGGTGCCAGTAACATCTCTATTTCTCCCAGCCCTGAGATTTTAGCAGCCTCTTCTTACTCATCCTTTCCCATCGATTAGAGGCTCTTTCAGGGTAAGGAGAATGAGACCTATTGTCATTACTGTATTTGGCATATCGAATATTCCACAGGGAGCTTGTCAGGCTCTGCCCATGCAGGCGGGATACTCTCAGTAGCTTGCTGGGCTCTCCGTGAGGCATAAATGGGTAGGAAGTGTCTTATAATGTGTTGGAAAGCAGCCTGGAGCATGGCAGTGGTTGGGCAGTGGAGGCTGGCTGCTGGGGCTGGATCCCTTGGGATGGGGAGGGCTTTCACCCACCCCATAGCCTGGCGTGGAGTCCGGTGGCATGGTTCTGGGAGCCTCTTTTTATATGGTATGTATTACATCTAAATACATTGAAACCCCAAAAATTAATGTCATGTTTTTATTTGCTTTCAGTAGTTATACATATTTTAAAGAACTTAAGTGAATAAATTTGACCATTAATTCTTTTTTTTATTTCCATTGAAGTAATAGACTTCCCTCTGTAATCATTTTTATTCATCTTAAAAAACTTGTTTGAGCATTTCTTTTACAGCAGGTCCAGTGGTGAATTCTCTTTAGCTTCCTTTTTTCTAAGAATGTTTTATTTTATTCTCATCCTTAAAGTATGTGTTTGCTAACATATCAAACTTCAGTTGGGTAATACTTTTGTTTTAATACTTTAAAAATATTATTCTGTTTTCTGGACTCCACGGTTTCCAATAATAAATCTAGTCATTTTAAAATGCTCCCCATTATGTATTTGTAAATTTTCTCTGGTTGTATTCAAGGTTCTATCTGCAAATTTACTTTCAAGGTTACTTTCAAGTCTCTATCTATTTTAGTGATTTGATTAAAATATATATGGCCATGGTTTCTTTTGAGTTTATCCTGTTTGTATTTACTGAGCTTCTTGAATCTATAAACTTATTTCCTTCCCCAGTTGGGAAAATTTTCAGGATTGTTTGCTAAAATATTATTTCTACCCGAATCATTTTCCTGTCCTTTGATGATAATGAAAGTTAGTTCTTTTGGAATTGTCCAGTAGTTCCATGGCTCCATGTTCTTCTTTCAATTTTTCTTCTTTCTGTTGTTCAGATTGGATAATTTCTGATGGTCCCTTTCCAAGTCCATATTTTATTTAGTTCTAAAATTGCAATTGACTTTCTGGTGGGCAGGGGAGGGGGATGCTGTGGGGTGGTGCACATCTGACTATGCTGAGGGCTTCCTCTTGTCTCTTTTCTCTGGGACCATTCTTGGCATTGCTTGAGAGGGACCACATGCAGTGCTGGGAGTGAGCCTGGGTAGGCCATGTGCAAGGCAAATGCCTTCATCCTTATTATACTATCTCTATGGCCCTTGGCTTAAAAAAAAAAAATAGTTCCATCTTCTTTCTAAAAAACCTTTATTTACCTCAAGACCATTTATTTACTTTTAATTCAAGGAGTATGGTGATAATAACTGCTTCATAGAATTTTTTAGGGCTGGAGCATTAGCACAGCAGGTAAGGAGTTTGCCTTGTACCCGGCCAACCCAGGTTCGATTCCTCCGTCCCTCTCAGAGAGCCCAGCAAGCTACCGAGAGAATCTCGCCTGCATGGTAAAGCCTGGCAAGCTACCCATGGTGTATTTGATATGCCAAAAACAGTAACAACAAGTCTCACAATGGAGACATTACTGGTGCCCACTCAAGCAAATCGATGAACAACAGGATGACAGTGCTATAGTGCAGTATTTTTTATAATTCTAACACAAGTCATTTTGTGTTTGGCATCTGTTAATTATCTTTTACTTAGTTGTTTGTTTTGCTTTGTCCTTTTAATTTTGTATTTGTTTTTTGAATAGCAAGAAATTATAGATAGTATCATGTAGATTTAAATGCCATATCATGAGACTCTAGATTCTGTCAAATTCTACTAGAAAATGTTGGCTTTTTTTTTTTTGAGCAAGTCATCATTCCAGTTGATTTTAAACCTTGAGTTCTAATACACATTTCCTAAGGTTGTGATCTGAATGCCATTAGTTTTTCAAAGTCTTTGCAGTACTTTTCTGATATTGTGTGTGTGTGTGTGTGCATGTATGTGTGTGTGTATCACCCAGTGGAAGTGTAAAACCTACACAGTAATCTTTATCATAATTCATTTCTCAGAATCATTGTGCTATTGATTTTTGGTTCATTCTACCCCGATGCAGTTTGAGTCTGGATGTTGGACATAGAATTTAAAAATTCCTTTTCCTAGCTCCCACCTGTCTCTGATCTTCTTCACTCTGACTCCTCCAGACTCCTCTTCCTCCTACTTAGGCATAATCAAAGCCAAAGTCCTTGAAACCAAGGTTTGATCCTCTGTGCACCTGACATGCTCTTGCAGTGGGTCTGCCTGAGGTCTGCAGTGAAAGAACAGAGCCAGGTGGAACATCAACTGCAGCTGTGATCACCACTGAGGCAGGATTTCTGCTCTGTGCCTGATTTCAGAATGCACGAGGAGAATCAGAAGCCTTCTGTCTTTCCACTCCGCTCACCAAACTAGCTTTTCTTGAAGATATTTTCAATCTACTCCCATTGGCAGTTCCAGGAGACAAAAATCTTAAATCAGGAGATAGACAGAAGAAAACAAGGAACTCGATACTGCATGAACATTCTTTTGAGTGGTTATCTTCATATACTTTTTTATTTTTCAGAATTCCCTGACAGTTTCTTTATATACTCTATGGATTTTCAGCTGTAATCATTAGGAAATACAGCTGTAATCATTAGGAAATACAGGAGTATGTCTCCCACATCTTTGCCAGAGCAAGAACCTTTTCACTGGATTTAGAAACTCCAAATCTTGGCCTGTGGCTGACTGAAGAATTGCTGCATCATGCCCTCCCTCAGTTTTCTCTCTACCCCAAATTTAAATGTTACTATATAAGTAATTAAAATCATCTCTATTTATTCAGAATGTTACCTTTCATATTTCTTGATAGTATCTTCAGTATTTCTCTTATTTTTTAAAAGTTTTTATTTTATAAAGTAGTTCACAATATTTGATTACAATTAATATTCAAACACCAGTCCCCACCACCATTACACCTTCCCACCACCATATTTCAGATGTTTCCATCCTGAACCCCAATCCCTGTCCCAAAGCACAACTGAAATAATATATTTTGTATTGTTTGTTATGAAAAACTTCTGAAAATGCTACAAAAAAGTATCCTTAAAGGAAATAGCATGAAGATTGTTGTATTTCACCCACGGGCCATTAAGCCCTTCTATAAGAGATCACTGACATGTTGTTAAAGATTGAGCCTTGTGTGTGTGTGTGTGTATATATATATATATATATATATATATATATATATATATATTCCCTTCTAAGTTTGGTTGTCTCCTACTTTGAACCCCATCAAATCTGGTGTGGTACTCTTGGAGTACGGGTAGGGTGTGGCATATGAAGTGTCACATGGCCTCAAATGTGGCCGCAGGATCTAGAAATAGGTTCACTCATGGGTGAGGCTCAGTTGGAGCATTTGGAGAGCAGCTGTGAGCATGGCAGTGGTTGAGTTCTGGAGGTTTTCAGCTGCCAGGGCTCGGTCCCTTGAGGCAGGGAGGGGTCTCACTTGCTCCCGTCTGGGGCACCCCAGGTGAAACAGCATGGGGTCTGGTGGCATGGTTATGGCGAGTGTCATGTTAAGCTTCCTTCTGGGAGAGAAGGACACGCAATCTCAGTATTTCTCTTCTTTAATATCCTTCAAATAATTACGATATTTTATTGGTTTTCTCAGAATTCCTAGAATTTCTCAAAGCTATTTCCTTTTCATAACTCCTGCTTTCACTGCCTCAGTTGACCTTCATCAGAGTTCACCTGAACTCTTTACAGACTTCACAGTTTTTTACTAGAGCAGGAGTCAGCAAGCTTCGGCCTATGGGCCAACCACCTGATTTTGTAAGGAATATTTTACTAGAACTCAGTCATATTCACTTGCTTACATATTGTGCTTGGCCACTGTTATATTACAAGAACAGAGTTAAGTAGTTACAGCAAAGACCATATAGCCCGCAAACCTAATTTGTCTGTTGTCTGACCCTTTAAGAAAAAAAATTGTTCTGGCCAGGAGACATAGTACAAAAGGTAAAGTGCTCAGCTTGCCTTGCATGTGGAGGACTCGGCTTCAATCCCCAATGCCATAGATCGTCCACTAGGCATGTCCAGGGGTCACTGATGAGCACAAAGCCAAGAATTAATGCTGAACACTGCTGGGAGTAGTCCAAAAACCCCAAGAAAAAGAAAGAAAAATTGTCCAACCCTTCTCTACCTGTAACTCCATCAATTCATGTGTTATAAAAAAGTAACTCATTTTTTTTCTTTTCTATGTTATTTTTTAATTGAATAGTTACAAAGTTGTTCATAATTGAATTTCAGTCATACAGTGTTCCAACACCTGTGCCCTCACCTGTGTACATTTCCCACCATAAATGACCATTTCTCCAGCCTGCCGCTGGTAGATGCCTGTCTCTCTCTCTCTCTCTCTCTCTCTCTCTCTCTCTCTCTCTCTCTCTCTCTCTCTCTCTCTCTCTCTCTCTCTTCCCATCCCTCCCCCTCAC